TCATTATCAGAAGCATTTTTGTCATTATTACCGTTCGTGTCACAACTGATTAGTTTTTATTTGAGTTATCATTGATTATTACCATCATCATTATTATGATTAGTGTTATCAATCCTATTACTATCGTCAATATCCTAGTCACATATCATCATTGACCTTATCGTCACCACCACCATCCTCCTCATCATCATCATCACCATCACCATCACCATCACCACCATCATCATCAGCAGCAGAAGCAGCAGCAGCAGCAGCAGCAGCAGCAGCAGCACTATCATTATCATCATCATCTTCATCACCACCACCGTCACCATCACCACCACCATCACCATCACCATCACCACCACCATCAACATCACTACCACCATGACCATCACCACCACCACCATCATCTCCATCACAATCACAATTACCATCATCATCATCGTCATCGCACCCAACACCTGCAAACAAAGTCATCACAGAATCTCTTCATTCACTATCCTGTTTCATTTCCGCATCGATAGCCACTGCATGATTTAGCCCAAGCCCCGTTGACGGAGCTTCATGACCTGTTGAGCATGCATGACGGTCCTGGCATAGTGGCATGTTTTCCTCGATAGACCGGTCTGTGTTTCCACTGCTCATCTTCATTGCCTATTACTTCGTGAGTTTTGCAACATGTTTTCCTCTTTCAGAAGCGTTTCTTGTTCTCTCCTCTCTTCCATCTCTCTTCTCCTTTCTCTTCTTCTTTTCTTCTTTCGTCTCTCTCTTCCCCTTAATTTTATCCTAATACTTTTCTCCATTCGCTATATCCCCTCTTACCAGTTCCTCTATTTTTTTTTCTCTTTCTCTCCCCTTTTTCTCTTTTATATAGTTCCCTCTTTTATTTACCCTCTTTCATATCCCCTGTTCTTTCTCTCTTACTTTCTCCATTTCACGTCCCTTCCTCCTCCCTTCATTTCTCTCCTCCCTTTTCTTCAATAATTCCTCATACCATTTCTTCTTATTCCTCCCCCAACCTCCTCTTCTTTCCTTTTCCCATTCCACCCTTCGTCCCTGACTCTTGATTTATTCACTTATTTATTATTTCCTTTTATTTTGAAACAATCATTTTTTTTCCAAACAATTTCCCGCTTTAACATCTCAAAGCCAAACTGTTTTTTTTTTTCTTCTTCATATTTTTGCTTATTTATTGCACAGCTCCAAGTTTCGAGTTTCTTAAGCTTGGACCACAAAGACTAGTTATTGTTTCCCCTTAATTCTTATTATCTTTAAAAAAATCCGTCATTTAATCCACCGTAACTTACTGAATATAAGTTAGTGACGTCATTGCAGCTTGGATATTCGAAACTCAAGCTTTGGCGTCCTATGATATGATGAAGATAATCGCCAGTACGTAAAAACACACAAACGCAAGAATACTGGAAAAGGCTCCTTTGTGAATCCCGTTTTCTGTTTCGGTTAAGAAGCAATCCTGACTTCCCATTACGAGCTGCCTTTAAGAACCGTTACTTGTGTGGTTGTTCTTAGAGGGAGGACTATTTTCGGCGAGGAAATAAGAGAGAGAGAAAAGTGTGTGCGTGTGTGTGTGTGCGAGAGAGAGCGAGAGAGAGAGAGAAAGAGAGAGAGAGAGAGAGAGAGAGAGAGAGAGAGAGAGAGAGAGAGAGAGAGAGAAAGAGAGAGAGAGAGAGAGAGAGAGAGAGAGAGAGAGAGAGAGAGAGAAAGAGAGAGAGAGGAGAGAGAGAGAGAGAGAGAGAGCAGAAAGAGAGAGAACGAAAGTTGATAGAGAAAGTGTGAAGGAGAGAGAGAAGAGAGAGAGAGAAAAGAGAGAGAGAGAGAGAGAGAGAGAGAGAGAGAGAGAGAGAGAGAGAGAGAGAGAGAGAGAGAGAGAGAGAGAGAGAGAGAGAGAGAGAGAGAGAGGAGAGAGAGAGAAAAAAGAGGAAGAAAGAGAGAGAGAAGAGAGAGAGGAGGTGAGAGAAGATAAAGAGAGAGAGAGAAGAGAAAAAGATAGAAGAGAGAGAGATAGAAGAGAGAGAAAGAGAGAGAAGAAAGAAAGAGGCGAGGAAATAAGAGAGAGAGAAAAGAGGGAATGTGAGAGAGAGGAAGAACGAAAGTTGATAGAGAAAGTGTGAAAGAGGGAGGAAGAAAGGGGGAGAGAGAAGAGAGAGAGAGAAAAGAGAGAGAGAGAGAGAGAGAGAAGAGAGAGAGAGAGAGAGAGAGAGAGAGAGAGAGAGAGAGAGAGAGAGAGAGAGAGAGAGAGAGAGAGAGAGAGAAGAGAAAGAAAGAAAGAGAAAAGAGAAAGAAAGAGAGAGAAGAGAAAGAGAGAGAAAGAGAAGAGAAAGAGAGAGAGAGAAGAGAAAGAAAGAGAGAGACAGAGAGAGAGAGAAAGAGAAAGAGAGAGAGAAAGAGAGAGATAGAAGAAAGAGAAAGAGAGAGATAGAAGAAAGAGAAAGATAGAAGAAAGAGAAAGAGAGAGAAAAAAGAGAGAGAAAGAGAGAGGGAGAGAAAGAGAGAGAGA